GAGCTGCTGTCAGCATCTTCGAAACGAGTTAGGACCACTAAGTTTCGCGATCGTTACGCTGGTTTTGCTTGGGTTGTCGACTGAGGTTGCTGTGGACTTCATCGTAGCTAGCATAAGATGGGACAGTTTTTCAGCGGTTAGACAATTCCAAAGAGCGAGCAGAGAACCAGTATCTCATCGGCTGTCCAGTGATTGACCAGAAAAAGCAACGTCTTCTGCAAGAAATTCGAGTGATGTTTGACATCTGTAGGTGGGGCATGAGCGAGTGCATCTGATAAAGGAGGTTTGATAGCCAGGTTGAATGGAAGGGTTAGCTGAGCTGTTGAATCCAGCGTACGGTGTTTTGGTTCCGAGGAACCACCGAAGCGCATGCAGATGTCCGCACAGACCAGAGCGTACTATGAGTAAAAGTAGGTGGATCAAATTGCAATCCTGTACACTGCCCCAGCATATGAAGGTGAGTGCAATGTGATTAATTTGCGATCACACTTGTGTTGGCGAAAGAGGACAGCAAGCGGCGGCGCGTCATCTCTAACGCCTGAGATTCGTGCTCGCGAAAAGAGCCGGTTGTTCTCACATAACGGGAGAAACCTATCTCCGTTATCAGGGCGACTCTCATCAACAGCATGACGACCACACGATGAAGTTCGCATGGCATCAGGCGACAGACCAGCACAATGGAGTCTCAGGCACGGGTTTATTCAAAAGCTGGTGGAGTCCGCGATAAAGGTCGTTCTTAACTGATGCATAACTGCCGTCGGTTGGAGGGGGGTTGAAACCACAAACAAATTAGCTCTCACTGTACGATGCCTGTTGATCCTTACTGAGGCTTGAAGTCGGATGGCTGACAATCGGTTGTCAATCGGGAACCAAACAAGCAAAGAGACCCCAGTCTGTTCACTCAGTGCGATACCAACACCAGCCAAGCCAGCTACAACAGCCTCTGTGTCACTAGGCAAATGTAATGAAAATTTAGTCCCGAGGTCAGCAGGGTAATTCAACTAAACTGCGGTGCTAGCGTCCTGTAACAGAGTCTCAGAGAGACAACAGACATCAATAGTGAGGGCCCCGAGGGCATGTGCTAGGCCGGCTTGTTGTCCGATCTGAATAAGAATACTAACGTTGTAGGCTGCCAGTCGCAATGAAGAACGAGTCGAAGGAGTGCCACTGGTCGGAATCATTGGACATGGAGGAGACTGTCTACAGAGGTAGCTTCAGAAGAGGTATGGACGAAGTTGAGATTGGGGTGTGATAGAGGTGCGTAAGTACTATGGAGATCAGTATCGGAACGAAACGACATAGTAGTAGTAATCGCGAGATCCATGGTTCTGTCAGCGGGAGAGATACTACCAATTTGGCCAAACCGAGGTAGGGGGCCAACTGCATTCCCAACAATGCGACCACCCTATCGCTAGTGTTGCTCCTCTCAACACAGCGGAATTGCCAGATATCTTTATCACCAAACCACTCTCCTCAACAGTGACTCTCATCAACACCTCACTAGCACAACTTATAGTCTCCAATTATAACACATCGCTTCTGCATTCCTGCAAATTATGTCCGCGCACGTTTCGGACATGTTCGAACCTGAAAAGGCACTTGGTAGTTAATTATAGCAATTGTTCAGGGGTTCATTCCACCGCGTCCGGATACAGTGGCACACAATCCAAGTGTTATCCATGGTGGAAGATATTACTTTTTAAGTGTAGCTTAGCCAACATCGTCTCAACACTCGTCCCGTCCAGCACAATGTAAGCTGTTTAACCCGGCTTCCAACTTAGAAGACAACATAAACTTATATAGCGCAAGAGCGCTTGTACCTGAGCTATCTATATCTGCTTCTATATCATCGCTGACACATCCTATTCCTTCTTTTCATAGTCCTCGATGTGAGCTTAATCCAGGTCTTCCTGCGCGATCGACTGATAGTCTGTGAAAACGCCTAAAACTTTGCGCTGATAACACTATTGCCAAGCAACAAGCTCCGTTGTCACCCTGGGCAATATCCTGCAGCACTCACGGGATGGATTCGTCCCAGATTTTGTAAGGTGTAGCATCTGCTATCAAGGCTATTCCAATAATGTTACCATTACAGCCACCACTACCATTACGTACTGAAGATGTCACCTCGATTGGTGACGAAACGCCCCCAAACGAATCGATCAACTCGACGAGCAAACTAACGTTTCACAAATAGAATGGTTCCTTAGGACCACAAATAACATGGAACAGTTTCTTTGTGGGTGCTTCATCACCATCAAAGGCGACATCGCCAGTGCTTCACGGTAGAGTAGGCAATCGCGTTGAAATGGTAGTCGCCAAGGCGTTAGTTTGGGGGCATACAACGTATGTCCGTTCTCCGCTTGTCGAGGACGGCCTTCTTTGTTTGTCAGATATAAGGTGACGCAAACCTCGAGGTGCGCAACAGTTAACTTGGCAGCGGGAAGTGACTATAAACCTGACCATAAACATGAGTGTTGGTCTTTGTGTTTTCCGACCGTTCAGTTGTTTTGTTCGTGGTAGTCCCCCATCACCGTAGCTTTCCCATGAGTTGAGCGCCTCGCCGCCTTCCGCTCTCACTTATCTGCTCCAGCTTCTTTGTGGTCCCTATATAATACTTGCGGGGTCCTGCTACTCTTACTGTTTTCCGTTTGTTTGTAGCTGAAACGCGTGCAGATGATATATGAGTTGCATCATCATTACTCTAACCAAGGAGTGTTTGGTGAAAGTGATCCAGGGGACATATGCACTATAAGGTCAATCATACAGAGAGGTGACGAAATCCCAAATGATTCTGTTTTATACCACCACTGGAGCACTAATTGTGTGCGGTTAATGGCTCTCTCCAAATGAGTTTGTACTACAAGTCTTATGGATTGCCACGGTTGCAGAACAACAGTTAACTAGATGAAGAAGAAAAGACCTGTGCAGTTCGCTGATCATCACGCATCGGTTTGGTCGCTTTTTATCTCAAAATCCCGAATTCGCTCAGTGTCCCGTTCTCTTTATAGTTCCAGCATTTCACTGAGCTCATTGATGCACCATTCGACTGTCGTCATTTGCCGGTTCTGTCAACCTCACCCTGACCTCACTAATGTTTAAGATCTTAGTCCAAGCACTTGCTTAAACCTATCCTACTTTAAGTTCAACAGCAGCCATCGTACGTCGGCTGAACCGAACATCATCGCTATCACAGTTATCAATACACGTTAGCCGAGGGTGCGAAACCCACCTCAGCTGATGTGCCTCAACACAAAAAAACCGATAAGTTAACATACTGTTAAAATCACATCACGCATTGGGTTAAGATTGTTGCTGGAGTTGAAAGCAAAGGTGGAGTGGAGGGAAAAAGGGACTCACAACACAAGAGCCACTGCGGTCGGCTCCTCGCCATGTCAGCTAGTGTTTCCAACCAAACCTTTTCATCGTCCTTTTGTCCCCAATCAGGCAGTCGGGAAAAACCAACCGACGCCAAATTCTAAGTGAGGGACTTCTTCCACTTGACCAAGTCATCACTGGGCCTCGGCTCTTCTTCCATCCACACCGCGCGCAAAACAACGCATGCTGTGGGAGTCGGTGTGCTAGCATGCGCAACACGGGGCCCAGCCATCTGAGCCTGGTACGTGACATAATGGTGCTGAGCGGTTCATTGGCATTTCCTGCACCAAATACGCGAAGCCGAACATGCTCATTGCTCACGCGGTGTTCCCACCAGACATGAGCTAAGCTGGAAAGGCAGCGATGATCGAATGTGACAAGTCTCTTGATGTCGACTGCTTTAATGGACCAGATTACGCACTCGTACATAAAGTTTGGACGGACGGGCGGTTGCTTTGCAAACCCTACCTTTCAGAGCGAGAGTGATGTCACGCAGGCGCCACGGGTGGCGGAGATAGGCAAAAAGCACCCCGAGCTGTCGCTGTACAGTTCGTAACCTCATCTTCAATCCCAGGGGCGCTAATATAGCAGCCCAGATACTTCAATTTCTAGATGACTTCTAGATGATCACCGCCAATGGTCGAGGTAGGAGTGTGCCCCTGCAAACCTTGGAGTAAAACTTTGCATTTCGACAGTTCAAAGCATAACCCGAAACGACTGACAGCCAGGGCTAATCTAGCCAGTGCAGCTTGGCACGTTCGGGGCTGTCACATATGAGAGTCATGTCGTCCGCATACTCCCAGTCGATAAGTAAGTGGGAGCATCTCAATACCTTGTATTTCGTGGCCGTCGAACGCCGTTTGCAGGAGTTTGTCAATGGCGAAGTTGCAGAGGAAAGGTAAAGGCGGACAACCTTGTCTCACACCGCTGGAGATATTGTAGGGCGGCGAAAGCTTAGCGTAAACCCTAACTCTGTCCAAGCTATGTGCAGCGAGCGTTTGGATAATGTTTACCTATTCCTTGGGCACACATTTCCTGAGTAGACAGTCCAAAGGCCACATCGATTAATGGAATCAAAGGCACCTTTGATGTCTAGGAACACAACTTTTGGTCGCCAATAAACATGGCGGTGCTCCAACAATTGACGTAATGTGAAGATGTGGTCAATGCAGCCTCGATTTCGACGAAACCCGGCTTGCTCCTCGCGCAATTGTCTTTCACGGGTGGCAATTAGTCTACATAGGGCGACAAAGGTAGGTAACTTAGAGGCAGTGAAAATTAGACTGATTCCTCTATGATCGTCGCACTATGAACGTGAGCCCACTTGAAAATTGAGACTATAACCGAGCGGCTCCAGTCTGTTGGGACAATCTCCAATTCACAAAGCTTCAGTAGAAAGTTAGATAAATCGTCCAAAAGATCAGGACTTCAAAGCAACATCAAATTAATGTAACTAAACATCTTCAAGCCAATTTTCTTCCTTCTTCATCGCGCTACCGAAGGCGATGGGAGTAACTGTGGAGTTAACGATGTTCAATCCGGATTGACCACCCGCATTTGTCATTACTTACTCTGTGCGCATCGAGCGTTAGCCTAAGAATTGCACGAATCTTAATGCCACTTCAAACAGCTATTCTCACAAAGAAGCATCGCTTGTACGAACTCACCTCGCGAATCATCAGGTCCAATAAAGTGCGCGCTCGACGCTCCAGGTCAAGTTCATCCCCAATTTCTTCCATGAGCCAATAAAGAAAACCCTCTTCGATATCTGGAAAGTTGTACATGACAGTTGTTATACACTATTTGCCATGTAATAAAACGCGATATTTTCCGGTGTTTATATATATATATATATATATATATATATATATATATGAGTGAAATAGAGTCATGGGAAGCAAACAAAAAAACGCAACTAAAACAGTTATTTCCTTGGTTCTTATACGCCTTTTGCTTCAGATTTATTAAAAAGCTTTCAGAAAGAAATAGAAAACACTGCAAAACTACACAGGCGCTACTGGCGTTTTTTGCTGGACATTTCATCAAACGCTTCTAACTACTGTAAATTAGAGTCGTGTTGTACTGCGCACGGAAGGCGGTCGGGTCTGACAGAGGTTATGTTTGTGGTTTGCATCTTCACGAACTATTTCCACGTCCTTGGTTGTCCACCGAAACTCTTCTTCCATACACTTCCGGAAAGCACAGTTAACGCTCGATTGGAATTCAGATAGACTGACATGTTTACTATGTGGCCAAGACAAAGTATAAAATGTCGGAGAATGTTTCAGCGACAAAAAGTGTTTGCCCCAAGCGTTCGGTCACGAACCCCCGTAGTACTTACGTGATGTCACCATTACACATAAGCACTATTTCGCAGAAAATGCTAACTACAAATTGGCAATTATTCCATGTCTTCCAAGTGATTAGGTCAGGTCTCACGGCTTCACAAACCGACAGTACTGACGGTGGTATGAGCTTAATACTGTCATCGCGATGGCACCAGAGCTGTGTAAGTTTAATCAGTGTTAGGTGGGCATCTGCGATACGTTGTGTAACCTCGTCTCCAAAACCATCATCAACAGTGATGCAAATCAATAGATAAGTGAGACAAGAGACTTGTTATAGAATGTCGCAATCAATAGTAGTGGATGCATGGCAAATTGCCGGTCGTGGATCAGTGCGTTGCGGTTCTCTGGGATTAAATACGCGGCATGCTTGGCCGCCTCCGTCGACAACCGGTTCCAAGTGTTTTAGACATCTTGTGGATTTTCTCCAAGCAAAGCGATATCATCGATGTAATTTAAGTCTGAAGCCATGTCATCAGGGAGAAGGTCGACACCGCAGTTGTGGACGATTTCTAATGCCTGTTGCACGACATCTTCCATGGCGCAGTTAAAAAGGAAGAGTGAAATAGAGCAACATTGGCGAACTCAGCTGGTGACAACAAATCAAAAAAATGAGCCTACCGTAAGCCTTAAGTCTGCTAGACGCGTGCTTGTACAATTCCTTTAAAATGGAAACAAATTTATCGCACACACTTTTCTTTGGTACACAGCGAGACAACGCAGATAAACCTATTAAATCTAGCGCTGATTGATATCCAAGACCATTGCGATTGGTGGTTATCGGTGGACGTTCTGCAGTTTGAACAGTTGATGGGGAGTGTGGATTTAGTTGAAGCAACTAGACAAAAACCTGTTTGTTCCTCTCTAGAAATTGTTTCCTAGTCGCTGAAAGCCTGGGGAGCATGTCGGACACAAAAAGGTTGGACGCAATAGAGACCAACAAATTGCAGGAAAATTGACGCAATTGTCGCGGGAGCCTTTCTTAGGATTTGGTATAAGGACTAAATCTTCACATGAGTTTTGAAGCTTCTGGCCAGTCCAAACTTTCTTGAACAATGACAGGACTTCGCTGAAGGCACATACCAGTCATCTTTGTATAGAACCGGAAAGGATGGTAGGGCCGGGTGCTCTATGACGTTTAAAAGATTGGAATGGGATTTGGAACTCTTCTTCGGCTGGAGGATCTGTGGCAACAGGCCAACTACAACCGAGAGTAATGGGATTGTCACAGATTTGTTGTGCTGGGTGATTAAAGTAAAGCACGAAGTGATCTTTTTGGAGATACAAGCGTTTGCGTAGGTTGGTGATCTTCGTGCCGTCAAACTCGCAGATTGTTTAACTGATAGCATATGGATCGTAACTGGTTGGCTTGATGAGGCGAAATAAGTTGCGACAGATGCTAACCGATGCAGCGACTTCCATCTCAGCATCTAGTCTTGACCACCAGAACACATGGACAGAGCAAAGTTTTGTTTTCAGTTGCTGAGAGATAGACGGGCGGAATTTGTTGTGTTCCACACCGGCGAGCACTGTCCGTTGACAATCCCTCATTTCCGAGGATGTTACATAGATCGAGCTTTTAGCTGTACAGCGAAGGAAGCTGAGACTAGAAAGACCCCCCAGTAGCATGGCTGTCTGCAAGCCAGATTAACGCTGGTCAGAATCCAGAAGAAATAAGAGAACCCGATTTAGTGGAAGCTTCTGTTGATACTCCATATGCATCGCTAGGTCTTCCAATTTGCAAGGGTTCAGTCAAGTTTGTTTGTTTCTAAGTGAAACACCGAAACGCATGCAAGTTGTCACACGTACTGATGCATGACGGCGCTTGACACAAGTCAGTCGATTTTACCGACAATCCAATATGCTGTCATGCCACCTGAACTTTTGGTTATGTAATCAATTATCGACAAACGCAGAGCTGATGGTGGACACCACGTGGTCTAGTGGCGTCCAAAGTGATGAAAGCTCATGTTAAAAAGGAAAGGTGGATGTCAGCATATAGACTGAGGAGCCTTTCGCTGATGTCATAACGATACCATCATATCTAGTAGACATCCCGGGGTGACGTTCAATAACAGTGGTAAACTGACACTGGAGATGAGATCTTTTGTCCTAATGATGATGTTCGATTTAGGCGCCCTTAGTCTAGAGAGTACGGGCGGTAGGGACGCACAGTCTTTATTGCCAACGCACAAAGGGTTCACAGGCTAACATGCATGCGCGTACGTATAGAGGACATTTTCCGACATCCACGCACCACATAATGTCCTTTCGCTCGGTGTCACATTCATGACCCGATTTCAGCCGATCAGTGAAGTCTCTGCTCGCCGAGTTTACCTCGTATCTTCATCTCCGCACGTCCTATTCTGACCGGACTGGATTGGTTATAATGCCCTTGACTTGCTTAATCAGTGCTGCTTCACTCTCCTCGTGGTTATTCTTGGAAGCGCGGCCAAACGCATATCATTCCAGAAATTCGGACTGTCCACCACCAGGTCTACCGCTCTTCTCGGCCTAGGCCTGACATCATTTGTCATTTGTTCTCCATTTCTGGCTTGTTTCGTAGGCCTCGATTTATTTTGTCGACTTTTGTCTCCGGTGTCCTCGTTCGTTTTCATCTCCATTAGTATTCGCGGCTCGTCCGTTCCGTCTGTGCTTCTAGCTTTCTGTGCCACTACACTAGGAGTAGATCATGAATGTTTTGACAGAACTGGCCCATGAAGGTATTCGAGCTGCAATCAGTTGACTCGTATGTAGAGACTACAAAATCAGCATGTCTGTTAGGCGGACGTTTACTCCTCTTGCAAGATCCCCGGAAACACATGGCACAAGGACGGTTGTTTAGTAGCATCCGATCAGCGAGAAGGGCCTCGGCTCTAGCACTAAGGGCGATCTCGACACCAATTTTACCAAATGCGGGTGACATCGTCACAGGCAATACATAGATAGGCACGGATATGTGTGTGAATTGGTGACGACAACCGGTAGACTGTTAGAATCCTGAAGTCGTGTCAGTCACGCAGCAGACCCCAATTACAGTTAGCTCAAAGGTGCATGCCGGTCCATCTTTTTGTCTGATTGGCAGTAAAGTTCACATACGGGACGTTGTCAACTTGACCTGAGTTCCAGATTGCGGTAGGAACGATGGAAAGCTTCGCGACCCGTGTTTCGCTGTGAGGAAGTGTGGTTGATTTGGTTGATGTTAAGGGAACAAATTTACGGCTGAGGTAGAATTCTTCACTGTCGAGGTATTAGGTAACATAAAGGATGAAGGTCACAATGGGAGCGTAAATAAATAGGTGGCGTGTGATCGTAACGGCGCAGTGGCAGGAGTGTAAAACGTCATAAGAGTGAGAAAAAATGAGACTGCGGTTTCATGGTTTATTAGTGGGCAAGATAGTACCCGGTCGCTCAAACCGAAGCAAGTAGTTTGTCTTAAGTGACTACTGCCCCGAGTCTAAGGATAAATAGTAGAACTAACAGGACAGCTTCCGCACCCATTTGGAACCGGTGCCTGAGCACTCCGTTGTTACACCTTTCGGAGGGCGATTATTCATGCCAAGGATCCAACACTTCGAGGTCAGGCGAAATCCCATACTTGGATTAGTTGTCAGTGGATGTCATATTCAAAGAACATAAGGAGCAGGGGCTTCCATTTGTGGTAAGTCCCGTCCGCCAGATATTTGTGATTTTTGTAGGATGGCTCTTACTAGGTGAAAACCCATTCCATTCTGAAATATTGCCGCGGAACCATTTGCAGAAACGGGAAATTTCCGAACCACCCAACTGGCACCATGGCAAAGGTTTTGTTTAAACCATTGAAACAAAGCTTGGTGACAGTCGATCCTTGTTCCTAGCCGGCAGACATATACTCGTCAAAATTGTCATCAATGTAAGTAGTAAAAATAATGGCACTGCTTATTATTGCGTCAGTTATTGGTGTTAAGGCAAATCGATCACATTAGGTCTTGTCCTACAGGAGGTCGATTCGAGTGAAATTATTACGTAGTGTCCTTTGCTAACATCGTTAGACATCCACTCCAAAAGGTTCGTGTTGTTGTGTTTTAAGGTTACTTTATCAACGCTTGTTGGCCAATTTTATTAACTGCGCATTATGCTCCTCAATTAGAGGAGTAAGCGTTTCTTTTGTGACCATTATTACTAGTAAGTTTGTCTTGGTTATTATTATACCAACCTACGTATCAGCATTTTCACGTCGTTGTTTTGCACAACCGGCGGCTCAAAACTGTCATCAGCTGTACACAAGCGTCCTGGAGTGACGCTTCGTCACCATACACCAATGATCAATAAAAGGGGTACCAGGTCCAAAATAAATGCCCAGAGACTCGGTTAACCCTAACTTTATTAAGGACATTATCATAAAGCTCAGAGACAAAGCTCGCGTATAAAGATCTTTTGCCTGCAACTGAGAACAAATTTACATTTGTAAATAAATTTTTCTCAGTTTTTACTCTCTTTACAACACTTTCCACTCACCAGGCCAATCAACAGGCGAGCTTAGTGTTTTAACAACTAGTAAAGCTTAAACAGAGTCGTACCTACAGAAGTGGCAACCACATGGATAGTGTTTACTTTACATCACGTCGTTGAAAAACGGACCGATTGCTAAATCACTGGGGACTGTTATTATTTCGCCTTACAACGCGAAGGATTGACGTCCCGGTAGCAGTTAGAATTAATGGAACTTTTGTAGACATTACACTAAGGCATATCTGGCGCGAACCATAGCCGTCAAGAAACAATTGGTCTGCTTACTCGATGCCACGGACTTGACTTATTGTTCCAAAGGAAATATTTTCTTGAACTATCAGTGTTAAACGTTAGATTGTCCGAATATCTAGTTCTCTTTTTTATCCACCTATCAAAAACATTTACTCAGTGATTCTGCCCAAATTAGTTATTCTAGTAACAGAGCGTGTAAATTGCCTAATTTGCCAATGGTAGAATGCACTGAGTGTTCAGTGCCCAAGTTTATTCTGCGGCCTTTAGTCACTTCTCATTTGTTTCCTTATGTATCCCATCCCTGTCAGTGGTTAAAAATCTATGTCAAATGAGCTATCACAGCCGTAAGCTATGCGCTCCCGCTCGGGGACACCGAATACCAAGCAACCCTTCTCAGTCTTTCTCTGTTACTCATCACGATACACACTATAGGATTACAGAAGAACGTACTAGGTCATTTGGTCATCAATAGCTAACATGCGGCCTCAAAGCGTAATCTGCTCGATATTCCGTGTGGATACGTACCGTGTTATTTGCACTTGCGAGCAGCAAAGTTAAGTACTCACCCCGTTCCACTGGGTCGTAAAAGTAGCCATTTTCGGCTAGGTTGTCAAAAACAACCAATTTCAGATCCGTCAGATATGCCTTTGAAAATGCATAAGCGCACACTTTTTCCAAAAGTTCTTTTTCTCTTGCTGCTTGGATAATTTGTTGTAGTTTCCGGCGTTCCCTTTCCTCACTAAAACAGATACACATTAATCAGCAGCGTCATCAGCAACATACTAGCATAACTAATTAGAACTGATGCCTCATTGTCATACTATCGTGATTAGTCAAGGAGTACAGGGTTATAGGATGGGAGAAGCCATGGCTAGTGAAAAATTTAGATATCAAAAGCAAGCATTTAGGGTCAATGCGCCTACATTGTTGTAACAAAACATGTTCATAAATAACTGAAAGCCAAGAAAATATGTTGCGGCATACTAAATATGGTTTCCTTGCGTCCAAATTCGCCTCTTCTTACTGCTACCACAGTCGAGACACGTCAAGCAGATGATCACCTTAGATAATGACAGTGAACTCACTACTGGTGCCGACTGCGAGCCGTGTCCTTCAAAGTCTGGTGCAAAACACAAAATCGGTTGCGTGGGCCACAGCCTAGAAGGCTAAAGAGATTAACAGCAGCTCTTTTCCCGTTACCGAGTCAACCTTTGCCCACCTCGAGGATTGCGCCACTCGACATCAGGCAAGGAAAGCACTGCTATCCTCGGTAAGCAGTGACCAGACATACTTATCACTTGTTCAAGTCAACGCAACTTATTCAGCAACATTTGCCCGTTCTAAACAAAACCTTAACTGTCCAGTCCAGCTCGGTATTCGACTGCGCGCATCAGCGCTAGAGACACGCTGATACAATCCAACATCAGCTAGGCTCCGCAGAAAAATATGATCAAGGACTGGAAAGCATTTCAGATCCTCCAACCGAAAGGTCTAACTCGCAATAGTACAGAGTGGGACAATCCTCATTGTGACTTCGTGCACACAGCCTTACTTACCACGAGAAATATTTTCGGATGCCATACATGTCACATGTACGATAATGTCGTCCTGACTATCTTAATACGTGAAGTAACAGCATTTGGTTTGACGGTTTATGGTTTGGCTAAATATCGGGACTTAATGCATGTCACAAAACTAGGACTAGATCCTGGTAGACTACAGAGATGACAATCGTGAACACATAATTCAAAAGAGTGAACGGAACTACACCATAACTTTGTCGACGTATGTATGTGCAATGTAGAAGTTGTAAGATAAAGTTGTGCCCATATAGAAGTTATACACGAAACAAGGTAGGCCTGTAAATTCGGTCATTGCTGCTGTCGTTTGGATATTGTTCCAAGCTAACCATCTTCCTCCTCCTCCTCCTCATCATCATCAGCATCATGTACACATTAGCTAAAGATGGAAAACTCTTCATCTGATTTGCCACAATACAAACTATAAGATAGAGTAAAACCTTCGTAACTTGACCCTTTAAAGGTTTGAACCAAATTGGTTAACATGGAAAGGTCCAATACAAAATCTTACACTTCCTTAATTTCCCGTTGTGAATAGTACATAAAATTTTGGGTTTCCATTGCTCCTTTTTCGATTATATTACTTGACCTCAGACATGGTAGCAAACATACCAATCATACGTATATATTTGTATATACGTTAAATAACGTTTTGAAAAAATGTCGTTTTCGTTTACTTCTTTCTCTCATCACAAACATAACTAAAATTCGTTCGCAACACAGCCTATATTAATCAGCATGAGCAGACATTTTTCAACAGCAGTTAACCTCAGTTGTATTAAAAGATGACTAATATCATCTACATTTGGAGTTTCCATGATTTCCATGCCATCGTCACTTGGTTCTTCGTCTCCGTAAAGTGTTTCTTGTTTGTTTCGCTTGGGGTGTACCGAAGTCACTGTCTTGTAAAATTATATTCCGGATCAGGTTAGTGCAGGTTACCGAGTCACCAACCATTTAAAAGACTGAAAATCTGTTCCCACAGGACATCGAATATATGTGTAAGACGACAGTATCCTGGATGAGAATTTGGACGGATCCAAGTTTTTGAGGCCCTTGTGTATTGTTTCTAATTGCCCTTGTGTCAGGATGAACTTAACCGAAGTACAGCATCCAAGGCATTAACTGACGCAACCGATGAAGTTCTTGCCGCATGCAGGTCATTGCTATGCATTTAGCCTTTAACACACTGCCTGAGATGGGCTTAGTAGTGAGTTTTAAATATTTCGATCATTGCGCGTAAATGCTAGGGAACGCAACAAACGCACGTACGCACACACCTGATATATCTACAACCGTTTGCGGAGCTGTAAGGCGCAGTAGTTGTGTCGGCAGAGTTTCACACATTGCATAATCCAGATACAAATAACTTCTAATTTTAATAAACAAGTAACCTGGCCAACACTGCACAGCAAACATTCCACTGGTCAAGTTACACAGGTTAAATAATGACTGTGGTCAGCATAAAACCTGCAGTGGTGGCAAACAAGCCAAAGTCAGGTCAAAGGATGATCAGATGGTGAGCGTTCAAGCCGAAAAACGGTCAACTTAAACCGATAATGCTCTAGTGGTGGTCAACTTTGGCTTTACTGTATATGAAAAAACGAGACAAAAACAACAGAATATACAAAGCCACTGCTCATTTTCGGAAGGTTTAAAACGCAACTCGGTTGTTTAAAAGTTTGTATTACGGGTACGTTTAGCCGTTGACGCAAGCGCTCCTTCAGGTCGGGTGAACTAATAGATTTGGCTTGGCTTTCTATAACTTGGCATACTCATTTCGAGAAATAACTCGTGTCAGTGGATTATAATGGCTAGTTTCAAAGGGCCAAACGATCATTCTAGCGATACTATAAGCATGGAATGTTCTCAGATTTATTGGCGTCACAAATCACGTACATGTCCTGCACTTTTTCTTGCGCTGTTGATTCTGGTGATGATATTCCGACGTTGCTTGCTCCAACTTGAGTCCGTCCGCCGACGTTGTTCGGAGTGAGCGGGTTAAGGCAGCCCGCCACATGTTTGATACTTCCACCCAGTCTATTCTGTGCACCTAGTTATCTGTTTTAGCAATTTCTACCGTCTCAATAAGTAATCTTTGGCTTGTTGCTGGTTGCCTCTCCTTATGAGCTCTACATTATCCCAGACACTTCCGTGTCCGCAGTCTAGCGCGTACGCCAGAACTGACGAATGTTTTAGTATTTCCTTGTATTCGGGTTCGTTTCTCGGTGGACGCGAAACCTGCCTCTTGTATTCCACTATCCTAGTGCACAGTTCTCCCGCTGTTCAACCTATGTTCACGTGCGCACAGTATTTGTAATTAATTTTATAGAGTCAGTTGGTCATCTTAGCATTTCAAAAGCAATTTTTCAAACTCATCGGTGCGGAACGCAACGTTTGAGCTCTTTGGATAACCTGAACTATAATTGCGTGCTCTATCCGCATCTGTTTTGTACGATATATCGTTGTTCTCGTCGTCCTCCGTTCCTGTGATCTAGGCAGTGAAAGAATGGCAGTGTGCCACTGCGATATTCTACCTCCATAGTGAAATTTCTATTATCATTAGTTGAGTTTAAATAGCTTGTAAACTCCTCACTCTTATCTCTCTCAATAGTGACAAGTGTCATCTTGGTAACGTCACCTAATATTTGGTAGAGCCTTTCAGTGCGCTGCTTTCAAAATATTTCACATACAGATTTTCGGAAACGGGGGATATTAGCAATCCCATTGCGGGGTCCTATTCTTGAGCGCGCAGTCTCCATTTGATGGTGAACTAGGACATACGAAGACACTTGTTGCTTCGGTCATCTGGCCTACCGTGCGTTTCGTTCGCTTCCCCAGGCTATGTTCCTCAGTCAGACAGTGCTGGGCTACCCCAAGTGTCATCTTCGGGCAGGTGAATAGGGAGCTAACATCGGAACTAACCATTATCCGTCTGACGCGATGGCTAGACCTGCTACGTTTGGCTCGAACGCATATGAATTCCGTACGAACGTATTTGTTCTCTCTGTTATAGTTTGCAAACAATCAGTCAGGTATCTGGCTAGTTTGTGCGTCTGAGAACCGATACTATCTACGGTGGGCTGAAAGGGAATGTCGGGCTTATGTTTCTTCTGCAGCGCATAGATCCCAGTCGGAATAGTTGATTTCGAGTATACGTTATAGCACTTGCCCGACTTTAGATAGTCCTTCATAACCCTCAGGTAGTATCTGACCTCTGTTTTACTCTTATTCTTTGCGGACGATATAGTCTGTTGCTCAATCACTTTGTAGGGCCCTGTTGCTAAATGCTATTTTATTTTTTTCACATAATTCGACTTATTCATTATCACTACGGGCTCACCATATCGGCATTCGTGATGATCATAGTAAGATGTTCCCCTTAGGGCCTTTAATGCGTTACGTTTCGCCGTCGTAAGATTTGACTCCTCAGATTTCTAGGATCTGTGCAGTAACACACAGCTGTTGATACCGGTAATTTCGTCACCACAGACTCAACGCCAGAAGTAAATTCTTCTGCAGTTCGTTTAAACTTATTTACAGGAACGCGAAAGCGCATTTGCAACAGTATAACTACTCTTACACTCAAAAGCCTATCGGACCTATTAACTACATAGTACTAATCTCTGCAAGATTCAGACGTATCAACGAAAATAGTGGTCATGGCACGCACAGAACGAAATAATGTGCTAGTCTGAAGAACGAGCGCGAAACCGCGTCGTCTCATCGGGCTTCGAAGATGGAAATCGCCGCTGCCGTTGTGGACCATTTGGAACTTATTAAGTTTAATACGCGGAATAGGCAGAAGGAGACCAGCTGTTAGCGAGATCAAACGTGAATGGAGTGGACAGCCTATCCACAGCTTGTCAAAACGATTGAAGTGTTGGGTCGAATGGTTTGAAAAGCAGTCTTATCAACAAGCGTTACCAGCTTTTCCATCGGCCAATGATTGTCCTTCTGCCTGGGCCGTCCTCCTGAACTGGTCTTCACGCGCAGAGTGACCTGGTAGCTAAAGGGGTATAGGTTTCGGCTACTATTCCAATGGTCGTGGGATCGAGGCCTGCTGTCTCCACCTGATGAGATGAAATTACATCGAAACGCGTCGTGGTTGTGCAGTGTTTATGTACAACTCTGAGCGGTGGATCACTCGGCTCGTGTGTCGAAGAGGAGCGCAGC